GCCTCGCATTGGATCAGCTGGGTCAAGTGGATATACGCCTCGAGCTCTGTCGCCGTCCTCACATTCTCCACCAGGTACGTGGCAATTCGTCTTTCGTGACCATCCGCCTTGTTGTGAAAATCTAGTACATGACTCTGGGGATACAGGTCTTCCTCTCTCTCAACAAACGACTTGATTGTCGCAATGTGTGGGAACGCCTCCATGCCAAACTCGGAGTTGAACCGTCCTCCCAATGAATCGAAGATTTGGTATTTCTCCTGCGTCCCGTGCCAGACATTCCATTGATGCATATCTCCTACGGTGGGGTCCGAACTGATCTTGCCGTCACCCCAGGGCGATCCTGGATGGTATGGGATCCAGGGAGCCTCTGCCGCCGAGATTCTCGGTAGTAAGGATTCATAGATGTACCGTGCTGGGAAGTCAGTTTTCAGCCAGTGTTCCTCGTTCTTGTCTTCATAATCGTAGGTCAAATGGGCCGACTCTTGCACTTGGTAGTCTTCATTGTTGCCGGCGAAAATCACCAGGGAAGGGTGGTGACGGATCCGCCGAACATTGGCCACGGCCTCTGCTTCGATCGACTTGAGTATTGCCGGGAAGCAGGGATAGTTTCCACATCCAAACATGAAATCCTGCCACACCATGATCCCCAGCTCATCGCATGCGTCGTAAAAGGCGTCGTTTTCGTAAATCCCTCCCCCCCAAACTCTAAGCCACGGTCGTTAGCTTCAATCCCATCCATATGTCTGTCGGAAGGATTCGGGGTTGGAGGGGTTGTGTTACCTGATCATTTTCTGGTTCGCCGGCACCATTAACTCGATCCATGCTCGATACTTGTCAGGTGTCACCTTCGTCAAGAAGCTATCGGTAGGAATCCAGCATGAGCCACCGCAGAAGATGTCGACATCGTTGACGCGAAAGTAAAACGACTTGCCGTGGGAATCAGGCTCCTGGACGAGTTGCACCTTGCGCAGACCGATGCGGCGAGAGTCTCTGTGCAAAACAGTCCCTTCTTCGGTCGAGAGGGTCACAGTCACGGTGTACAGTGGCTGCTGGCCGTACCCGTTGGGCATCCACAATTGTGGATCGGAAACCTCGAGGAGGGCAGCCGTTGTGGCTTTGTTCATGCCCTCCAGCGGCGTCACATCGGCCTGGCGTGAAAAGACCTCTCTGTTCCCTAGACTGACAGTGAAGCGGGATTTGACAATCCGACCGCGATGTTGGTCCTCGAGCCCTTCAATCTCCACAGAGGCCTGGACAGTGGCGAGCTTGTAGTCGTCCGCAATGGTAACATCGGCCCGCAGATCAGCTATTCTGATGGAATATATCTCCAGACGAACAGGTCTCCAAATCCCGGCGCACATGAGCAGAGGTCCCCAGTCCCAGCCCCAGTGATACTGTGCTTTCCTGACTGCCAGACGTGCCGGATCACCGTTGAAACAGATAAATTTATGCTCTGGATGCTGGTCCTTGATTTCCCGGGCTTTCAGGAAGGCCGGTGTGAACTCGACCTCCAACCTGTGGTCCTCGTCCACTTTGGATGATTGAATGGCTTCTGTGACGTCGACTCGGTGTGGCAAGAACATATTGTCGCTTCGCAGGATGGTTTTGCCGTCTAACTTGACATGAGCAAATGTGTCCAGACCGTCAAAGGCCAGTACAGCTTTGGAGCCTGGCGGTAGTACAGATGGGCTGGCGAGTGTGGTTCGGTAAGTCCATGATTTCAAGCCTACCCACTCTGCCCTGATCTCATTGAACCCGATGAAGGGATCATCCAGCCTAGTGGGTTATCTTCGTCAGCTCTGGTGGTCTGTCGGAGATGCCAATACGCACTTCTTGTTGTCGATCAAGTCCTGGTGCACAGTGGAAGGAACCTTCCTGACCGGACACCAAGCATTTTCACCAACATCATCACTCTGCTTGAATGACCACCCCACAGATAAGTCGACGACCTCCATTGGCACCGGCGTGTCAGCGTCCCCTGACATGTCCCCCATCGGCCTCTAGGTGCTACCAGAATTGTTCTCCAGACGACAGGGACAAGAGGAAAGAATTCAAAACAAACAAACAATATGAATAACAACGAAATGAGAATGAACGAATGCAATTGAAAAAGATATCGAAAGTCCTTCCCCCTCGGTAGAAATAGAGGAAGGATTTCAGATACGGGAATTTGGAGAATTGATAAAAAGCTTCAACCACCCACGCAACACGGCGTTGCTGCTACCTATGTACTCCGTAGTTGAAAATCCACCTCATCCACTTTATCTGGCAAACGGGGACAAAGCCGCGGGCGCGAAGATGATCTGAAACCAGAGGAATCGAATGCTAGGTATAGAGCCAGACGAACAACACATGACCCTCAGTTTACCATGGATTGCCCTCATTGAGCGAGGCGGAAGGTGCATCGAAAGCGGCATGGAGAAAGTCGGCGTGGGGGCAGGATATGACGGCATCTCGACGTTAGCCGAGACTCCAATCGGAGAATTTGTCGCAGTCGGACTAGCACCTATTCGGACGACGGAGGAGGACAACTCCGGTCCAAAAAGGGGAAAGCGTGGTTTTAGTTTATCAAGCAGTGCGGCATCGAGCCTCTCTCTTCCCGCATTGCTCGTTGCAGTAGGTAGCAGTCTGACTCGTTGCCACGGGTCGAACCACCAGAGTATCCTGGAGCTCTTCAGTCATGTCATTGCACAACCACCTACGCCCTCACAAGATACGCGAGGTAGTCAATCCTCTTGCCAACCTGTTAATTCCGTTGATTTATCCCCCAAGGCGGCATTCCAGCCTGTTGGACCCCCGGTTTGAACTGTCCTATGAAACCACGATTGTGGTTGGAAATGGGCGGGTTTCCCCCAAACTATAAAACAGCCAGCCGACATGGGGGACGAAAGTCTCCATTTCCGTTTCTGTGCAGGAACTGCCCTCACCGTGTCCCAAATCTGATACTTACATCGACCCAGAACAGCCATCTCTCCATGGCACCGCAGCGACGCTGCGCACCTTGACAGAAAAGAGCTGGGATGAAATATATATGTGTGTGCACGCGTGTGTGTGCTGAGGTGCTAGGAATAGAACCGGCATCGAGCATTCACCCACTGCTGTATCACCACAGCCTACCAACCCCATGTGCCGGGGCCTCCCTTCATGGGCCCTTCGAGCTCACTTGTCACCCATCCACCATAATAGTCGCCTGTGCCCCGTGGAGGTCAGATTTGGGCTGCCATTGAAATTTTGAGTCTCAGATTGCTCACCTTCCTGCGGGGTGACCTTCTCATCGTCGACGAAGCATTCCCACGGCACGCCGCTGGCGTAGAAGGACAAATATCCCTTGATGTCTGTGAAGGCGGGCGTCGGTGACTCGTAGCTCCATATTTTGGTCTTGACCGTCTGCCCCGTCGACTTGTCGGTCAACTCCCAATACGTGGCTCGACCTTTCCATTCACAGAGAGATGCCTTCTCAGGGATTTGCGTGAGCTTGAAACAGTCTGAGATGGAGTTTTGGGGGAAATAATATGCTGCACGAGGACGTCAATTGCATTCAGTTCCGCATTGGTTGGACAGCAACGTCTCTGGAGAGAATTGGACGTACTAGGGGGATGTGTAGTTTCCAAGACCCAGTACGCGGACGTTGTGTCGGCCAGAATCCGTCCGTTCCATCTAATCACCAAATGCCTGGGGGTTTTGGCTAGCAGCGGAGGACGAGGGAAGTTCTGCACGTTCAACTTCGGTTTGGCAGCCATTGTATGGTAACGAGGTTAATCGATCTATGTCAGCGAAATGATGAGCCCCCAGATTCCAGACGGACAATAGAAGAACCATTCTACTTGTATGTTTCGGTGACGATGTAGAAGTATGACTGCCTTACTAGGTCCGATCGGATGATCAGCGATCATACAGATCTCATGGCACAGGGCAGCGCTGGGGCCCAACGCCGAGTAGTCGCTTGGTGTTCGCTACCATGTACATACGAGGTACCTAGTAGCAAATGCTGATAGAGTCAGGATGTCCCGTTCACATGTGGACATTAAGAAACAAGTTATTTGAGTTCTAACTCTTCCCGTCCCTCCCCATGTTCAAGGACAAGTCTCGTTCAATATTATGCCAAATGGCCGTACAGATTAATGTACTGGGCACCGAGCATGGAGTGTCCCCTGGTCGATTTGTCCCACTTGCTGACGGCCCTGCAGGTCTCGGTAACGCCATTCCTTTTTCTTTCAACCTCAGAGTGTCACGTTGATATTAATATCAACATTTCGGGACTCTCAAGGTCTTCATACTTCAAGCCGGCACCAAAGGCGATCTGTTGCCGAAACGATCGAGGAAGTCTCGTCAGCAGATCGGAGCTTTGCCTGCTTTCGTTCTCGGCAGACTTTGCTGCCCCGCGCAAATACGAAGAGGGCGAGAGTGGCCAATTTGCCCTTCTCCGGCTCCACAAATAAGCGAACACCCTCCCTATGTACCGAGTACGAGGAGGTAGGATACAGCAACACGGTCCGCTCATCATGACGCGGAACGGCTAGCGGACATCACCAACGATCGCGCAACTATGCATCGCCGTTTCTCATCGAGATCGCTTTCTTCGGAGCTGGGACTGGAGATCTTTCCCGTCCCGGAGACGTCATCCACCAAGGACCAGACACAAAGCTCAACAGCCTACAAGTTACCCCCTGGCTAGCGATGGCCCCTTCTCTTGCAAAGTTTTTTACGACTGGGGTAGGTGTTACGGCGTCCTCGGGGATCTCGAGTCTAATTATTTTGATCCAAATGGATCGAAATTTGGGAATAGGGCAAAACGACCTCGCGGCGAGCCCTGGGTCTGGCTTTAGCGTTTACCCTAACAAATCAAACCGTTATATCGGGGTCTACGCTCGGGCTTCAAGCCTCGCCTCGGTCTAGCAAGCCTGAAAAGCATTTCTGAAATCAAAATCCCAAAAGGTTGTTCAGTTTCGACTGCTGGCTTCACCTCCTAACCCGTCTCATAGTCACGCAACGCCACAGATATGTCCTCCCTTCTGCTGAGCGCTGCCAGCGGCGGCATTTTCGGCGCCGCCCTGACTGCATCGGGAGTATACTCCCCGTCGGTGATCATCTCACAGCTGCAGCTGGGCAATTTTCACATGCTCAAGAGCTTCCTCGCCGCGAGTGCCTGCAGCGCGTTGATTGTCTTTGGAGCGAATCGAGCAAAGTACGCCAAACTCTCGCCCCGGTCCGATTCGTCGTATGGCTGGTTCATGAGGTACGATGCAAACCTCATTGGCGGACTTTTGCACGGCGTCGGCATGGCTTTGACTGGTGCGTGTCCTGGCACTGTCCTTGTGCAGCTTGCGATGGGTGTCAGATCTGCACCGGCTGTGGCTGCCGGCTGTATCTTGGGAGCTATCGCCTTTATCAAAACGGCACAGCGTCTCAAGCGATCGCCACCGACGACAACATCTTCTAGCCCTGCTCAACAAAATACCGTACAAGCGAAGTTGGGCCTGTCCACCAATTCCATGATCCTCCTGTACGAAACTCTGTGTCTTATGATGGTTGTTGCAGCCACGTATCTGGCGCCCACGCGAGACCACTGGTTGAACCCTATCGTGGGCGGCCTCCTTATCGGCGTGGCGCAAGCGACCTCGGTTCTGTTCACCCGCAAGACCCTCGGTGTCTCTAGCGCGTGGGAAGACGTTGGGAAATATTTCTGGAGTGTCGTTGACGGGACGGCAGGCCCCGGCTTGTTAAATATCGTCTTTGCAAGCGGCGTCATGGCTGGCTCGAAGATCGTTTCGCAGTTCATCCCCGCTGTGTCCGAGGCAGGGGCGCCGGTGATCAGTCCCCTTGCCGCCGTTGCGGGGGGATTCGCCATGATATTCGGGGCGAGGCTGGCGGGCGGATGTGCAAGTGGACATGGCATCTCCGGAATGGCCACTATGGGCTTGAGCAGCTTCATTACGGTGGCTGGCATGTTTGGAGGGGGCATTATATCGGCCCTACTGCTGCGGTGAATGCTGGACCTCGTTCTTCGCTTGACAACTTTACTTCTCGTGAGATCGATTCACAGGCCACTTGGGGCTATTCTTTTGAGGCAGTGACATACAATATCCAACCACACGCGTGCGCAGAACTTTCAGGGGCAACCGCTGCTTCGCGATCGTTGTGGACAGCATTGCCTATCGGTGACAGCGATTCACTGTTCGATGGAAGTGGAACGAAGGTCCTCAGGCTACACTTGAGGACCAAACACGTCCCATGTCTCTCTGTCCGGTCTGCCCTATCAGTGACAACGAATCACTTTCCGATGGATAGGATACTTTCACTTGAGGACCTATACACATCCCGCATCTATCTGTTCCGTCTACACCCCGACCTTCCATATCTCGAGGTCTTCCGCGCCAACCACCACCGCTACAACTCCAACTACCGCAGATCATCAAGAATTCCTCTCCTCGACATCGCAGGATCTGAGCTCAACTGACCTTCGTTGCTCCCTCGTTCCTAAAAGCAAGCAAGCAAGCAAGCAAGCAAGCAAGCAAGCAAGCAAGCAAGCAAGCAAGCAAGCAAGCAAGCAAGCAAGCAAGCAAGCAAGCAAGCAAG